GGGGGGGAAGCAGGATTTAACACGACTTCAGATTTTTAACACGACGTTGGAGCTCTCCGCTTGCCTCGCCTTTCGATTCTCGCGCCTCGCCTTCGCCTCCTCCCCGTGACTCCAGAACCAAACCAGCCCCGCGCAATCCATTCTTACGTTATTTCGGCGGCAGCTAAGTTTTGCCGAAAAGCTAGGGGAGAAAGACTGACATTTCCGTTACATCAGTTACGAAATTGCAAAACATTTCTTCTAAAAAGAAAAATAAATTAAGGAAAGACTCGTCCCTGATCTATATAGGAGGCTGTGTAGCTGCGTCGTTTTCTCTGGGAATGTACGCTACACCATCCAGAAAGGCAGTAAGCCTAAGCCCCTGGCAAATCTAAGTGTTCTAAGAATTATCTTCTCCTATATCAAATAAATAAATAGAATGCCAAAATAATAATAAAAAAACCCTAAAATATATTCAAGGAGTTATTTAAGTATTTTTGTAATAGACCTCGGCTATTTTTAGGATATGCAGGAAGTTTTACAGCACATTAAACTGTGAGACTATCCACTTACCAGCAAATAGTATTCTACACATCAACACACAGATTATGGTTAACTGCCATAGGCCTCATCTGAGTATGTAGCATCAGTAGCAACAACCAACGGATCTAGTCTTTCGCTAATCAGAACGTTGCAACAAAGACAACATTTTACATACGTGAACGATTAAGTTCATCTTATTCTATCACCAAGCTGCCTCTGGATATTTGATTTATCATAATCCTCGCTCCATTTTAATCCATAATTCAGACAAGAAGTGTTAGCCAGATGTTTTCTTCCTAACACCTCTTCTATATTCTTTACTTGTTTGCCCCGTAAAGGGGCAAACTTTACATAAACTCTACCACCAGTGTACGTTTATTGTGCCATCAGCATATTGCCACCTTAGACCTCCTCCTTCTGAAGTCACGTAGCCGTCTCCTGCATAAATCTTTTGCTCAGCACCTTTTTGCCAGGCCAAAAGCACAGACGTTAGTAAGAAGTCACTCTTCATCCAACAGATACATCCATTGTCATTGAAGAAGCAGTCTTCTGCATTTCTCCTTTTTCCTATTTATTTCTGCCATAGTCTCACCAAATGACCACAAGCAAGCTTTTATCTGAAAGGCCAGCAGTCTCAGCCTTCTCAACAGTCGACACCACCACAGCACAGGGTGCATTCAAAACCTATATATCTTGACCAAACCATTTTTTGTTTCGTAGGAGAACCCCTTGTCTCTTCATATCAGCTTCAGTTCACCCACGGCTACTTCAGTATGCTGTATGCTCTTTGCAGCTTCATAATTCCACGAGGAACTTCCCAGTTAGACAAAGCTCTCAATACTGTCCATTTTGTTGCCACTTTTTCCTAGCCTTTGTAGAGTTTTATTCCTTTCTCTGGCAGAAGACCATTTTCTTTATCAAGTCCATACCGATACACAGTTCACTAGTCCCTTACAGCATCTTGACCTGGCTCTGCAAGCTCTTATTCTCCATATCTATCTTCTTTTTGATGTTAGAGCTATAACGTGTTTCCATATAGTGAATAACATATTATCAAAATGTTTGAACTACACAGAAGACTCTGCCTGAAGTCAGAATGCAAGTGTCAGATGTAACTACCACAGTCTTACTTAGCTCAAAAGAATTCTGAAAGCAAGTTACTTAAGAGGAAAAACAGTTTTGCTTCCCATGCAAACCTATTTTCTGCCCCAGGAACCTGAATAATAATTAAAAAAAAAAAAACCCAACAGTTAGATTTTTAGACCTAAGTATATTTGCTACAACTTGAAAGGTGTAATGCCCTGACTCCGTTTCCATTGCTTACTTCATAGCTATCCATCTAACAGTCCATGTAACAGTCAAGTACAGTAGTATAAAACTCAATTGCGAAAACTGATTCACAGAATCACCTTGCTTTTTCTACTTGAGGGTATGTGGACTTCTGAATACGTTTTGCAAGATTAACACTTTTTACAGTCCATCAGTGTAATGTCTGCAGTAAGGAACTTGCGGTTTCTACATACACATATCTGAAGATCAAGACCAACTTTTGATAATTACATACAAAACATTTTTTGCTCTAACACACCTTTGGTCATACCTGTTTAGCATTTTTAACCGTACAATAGCAGCCTTACCCCTTCCCTCCCTCCCTTCCCCCTCCCCCCCCCCCCCCCCCCCCCCCCTTCAAACACACAAACAGTACTACATTTAGTAGGAAGCATAATCTCAGCCTCATGGCAAACCTTGTGGAAAAGAGCTGCGTTGGAAGAGATACTTATTCCAAATATGAACAGCAATTCTCTACTGAGGGTTAGCCATTTGATTATTGGTCTATGCTACACTTCAATATAATAAGAGTGCTGTTCTACTGGGAATGGTGTTCTTCAGATGAGAAATTAGGTTCTTTCAGCCTGATTGGGATGCGGATAATTCCACGGCACTTTTAAGTTATACAGTGTAATTCCAGAATCCCAATTACCATGCCATTCCCGCTATGTCTGATGTTTAAGGCGGTATATAAGAGGTATTGCTGAGTAATAGCTGATATATTAACCTATAGAAATTGTGCTACCTATACCTCATCCTAGGCTCTGTAAAACACTAACGGTCATGAACTCTGTAGGTCACTTAAACCCCCCCCCCCCCCCAAAAAAAAAACGAAAAAAACCCTGCATTCTTTGAATGTCCAGGAAATCAAAAAAACCTTTACGTTAATGTTCTTACGGCAGGTTTTTTCTTTGCTTTTTTTTCCCAAGTTTACTGATATGCGACCCTTATTAGATATCGAGGACAGACACACAAGAACTGAGGGGGAAAAAAGAAAAAAAAGCATGGAGTTATACCTTGCAGCTTTTAAAACAGATTCTTTTCACAGTGTCAAAAAGTAGTATTTTTCCACTCCAGCTTTGCTCTAAAACCAATTCTGAAAGTAACAATTCTTTTTTGTTTATATGAAGCAAAATTTATGGAAGATAGACAATAATGTCTAGTTTTGAAGTTTTTCGTTTGTCTCAGTACATACAGCGGTGAGTGCCCTTGAATAATCCTAGGTATGACAGCATAAGAAATAGGCCACACCTGGACTCTAGGCAGCCAGCCTTATGCATTCCAGAGCTGCAATTTATTCTCAATTTGAACAGTTCTATGCAATGATCGACTAACCCTGCCAAAGCATTCAGGGCTTTATCTTTTTATAATGCATATCTAGGTTAAAAACCCTGAGAGCTTTTAAGGTAGTGTTCAGTGACAACAGGAGTTTCTTGAAATAGTTTAGAAAGGGCAAAAAAGTGACATAAAAATACTTCATTTTCACTGTAGGGGTCTAGGGTAAGATCAGAGAAAGGTAACTTTTAACAGGTAAGTTTAAAACAAATTAGCATTTAACTATATGGAGTGCTTTCAGTTATCCAGTGCTTAAAAAAACAAAAATTAAAAAAAAAAAAAACAACTGGGTTATCTCACAGACTTGTCCTCTTTGCTCTTTCCTCCATCTGCCCAGACACAGAGAGGCCTCTAACTGTACAGCAGATGGTTTACTTGCAGCCCACAGCAACAGTCTTTCAAAAGGTGTTAGTCTTGAGTCTCCTAATCAGAGAGAAATGAAGCAATTAACCCCATAATCCACAGTAGAGACACAGACAGAAACCTGAAGGAAGATTGTTATTCACAGAAGATATCAAGTAAGACTACGAACGATGGCTGAAGACCTGCCAGGTTTTGCAATCTAACCCTCCATCCATCCATCCATCCATCCGTAGCCTCTCAGGGCATACCACTAGTTTAGGTAAGAGCCCAAACCAACTGTTTGCTCCTCTCACTCATGATCCCTACAAAGGGCTGTTTTTAATTGCTTAGTTGACGCAGGTACTATCATTTCTTAAACTCAGCACAGCCTGAGGCAGTTTCCCTGCATCCAGTACCTGGCTTGCATCAGCTTGCTGACAGACCTTACTGTCTGTAGCAGTGCTACATGTGAATGAATCAAAGTCCACTGTTATATCTTGAACGTTTCTTTCATTGGCATTGTCAAAGCTATTTTTACCATGCAGCTGTTTAAGATGTTTCCTCAAAACAGGTTTATGCGCAAAAACCATGTCACAGTAGTTACATTTATGGGGCTTGTCCCCACTGTGCAGGTTGAGATGGTCCTGTAAGGAACATTTCTGAGAGAACGTTTTCCCACAGATCTTACATTGGAAAGGTTTGATGCCTGCATGCACTCTCATGTGCCGATGGAGATTGCCTTTCTGAGTGAATGTCTTGCCACAGAGAAGACACATAAATAGTTTATGCATTTTTAAGTGATTAGCATAGTTTTCCAGATGCCGAAATACTCTTGTGCACTTTGGACACTGATGGTGCCATTGGAGACCTTTGTCTATACCTCGGTTATTAGGCCCAAACATATCTTTAGAGGCCAGAATGATGTTGTCACTGCCAGCGTATGAAAGGGCATAGTTATGGAGGTGGTTTTGCTCCATTTCGCTTGCTCTGTTTTCAACAGTGGAGTTGATTAGAAAGTGTTGAGGCTCTGATGAATGCAATGCAGTTTGTTCAGAAGAAATAAACTGGTTCTGATCTTTCTTATTCCTAACTTCTGTTACCTCCCCAATAGACTCCACCTTGATGATCTGAATATCACTGTCCTCCATGTCCATACTGTCTTCTGAAGGCTGAATACAAGGTGAATCTTGTTGTAGAGAGTCTTCATCTCCTTGATGTTCCTTCAACTCAGAAGAGTCGCTCTGCTGTTCACACTCCTCCTTGCTCTCCAACGGCTGCTTCGGTTTTATGAACTTCCAGAGTGCCTGTGTACATCGTTCAACAATATGGCTCATCTGCAGAAAGCTTGCAGCAGTCAAATAGTTTACCAGTTCCATTTCAGGAAACTCCAGAATGCCACTGTAACAGGATAAAAGCAACTGCCTCCCCACTTCCGAACTTTGCAGTATGGAGATTTTTACCTCTCTAGAGTCATTTAATAAGAACTGATCTCTTAAGAAGGGAGAGCCAGCAGCAAATACAATTTTATGCCCGTGAACTTCAATGTCATCTATATGGACCACGACATCACAAAATTTGTTTTCTTCCCTTAGTTTGTTCATTTTCTGTAACATCGAATCCCCATAATTGTCAAATTTGAAGTGAAGAATATCTGATCTTTCTGACATTTTGGCACACCTAAGAAAAAGCAGCAAGGAAAAAAAAAACAAATGAGAACTTTTTTTTTTTAATGTATGCAAGTTAGCAGGGTCTAAAGTAATGATATGAACTGTATTTAATCTAATGTTAGGTTTAGTCATAGTTAAAACACTCAAATCCATAAGAAGTTTCAACTCAAGAAAGCAAGCTTACTCCTCACTGTGCAGTATTGTTTTCTGAATCTGATGTAGTTTGAATATGAAGTAGATATGATAGGATATAAATTCTATCTCAACAGAAGTAACTATAACTTCAGCTAACTTGTCTGGATATTTCAGTTTACATTGCCTTGAAGTTTTTTTTTTTCTTTTTTTTTTTTTTTAAACATCAAAGAGACAAACTTCCATATGGCCCCTTGTTACACAAATTATCCCTTCTAGGCTCTCTCCTTTGAATACCTGGGGAATGCAGGAAGTCTTGTTTCTTGTCTTCTTCTTTGGAAGATCACTCCTTTAGGAAGTTTGTTCTTGTTTGAAAGTATTTGGAATGAAGAACAGTAGATCTTCCATAAACCAAATATCAATTTTTTGTCTTTCTACAGTTCTTGTAAGAATTTATAAGACTACACTGATTCTTGATGAAACACTGTTCATGCAATCCTGCCAGAGAGCAGGGATTGCAGGAAGTGAAGAAATCGCAGCAGACTAAACGATGCAAGATTTGGTGAGATAAAGAAACAAGACAAAGTAAAACTTATACCTCACAACTATTAAACACCCCCCATAAAGCTCAAAAGGAAGCTTTGAGGTTTATAGATAAAAGCAAATACTGCTCTCTTGGGGCATGAAATATTAGCTCAGCGTAAACAACAGGAAATGGAGTCGTGCCTAGTGTAAATGAATGAATACATAAGAAAGGGTTCAAAGAAGAACATTTTTGAAAGTATCTGCTGATAATCAGGGTTGTTCCAATTTGCTTATCAGATATAATTCTGAGACTTCAATGTTGAGAGCAATCAGAAAATCTCCTTGCTATGTGAGTCCATCAAGTATATCTTCCAGTATATGACACGCTAGATCTACCAGAGGATTTCAAAAAACTTCACAAACAAGGGACCACTGAAAGTTCAGAAACAGATGGTAGCATCATCCTGTATGAATCTATCGAAAGTAGAGCCACAAGTGTCAAGCAGTCATCCCGCACACAGCGCGCCTAACTTGTCCCATTCCCAGAGTAAAAAGATCAACTTTGTGAGGCACTATAGCCTTTGGCAAATCTAAACTGTAGCAACAGAACATCATGAAATATCTTCAAGGAACTTCAGGCGTTATAAAACTACTCTTTTTTGTTTTTTTTTTTCCCCTTGGCCTCGATGAAGGCAGTCTACCTGCGAGCATGCTTTTTCTACAGGTAATTAGGCCCTACGCGAAGAACTACAATACACGCGGAGTTAAAGCGCCCATGCCGAAATCGCAGAGTATGATGCTGCTGACAGGCACAACTAACCCAGCCGCTTCCCCTCAGCGCTCCTCGGGCGGGTTATAAAAGCCACATCGCCAGAAACCGAAAACGGGTGACTTGCCTCTACACACTACTGAACTCCAAAAAAAAAAAAAAACCAAAAAAAAAACCAAACCAAAACCCAATGAGCCCCAAACCCTCCC